CATTTCCGCTTTCACCTTCAATTGCACCGAGTTTCTCTTCTAGGGTCTCTTGCACGCTTTGTCTTTGAGCATATAACTTCTCCAAATCCCATCTGGGTCTGCGCTTTCGAAATCCTATAATTTTCTTCAACCTGGTTCGGAACTTGGCAACCAGCAAGTTGTGGTCAGAGTCAATGTCTGCCCCAGGAAGCGTCTTCACATCCTTCACACTGTTTCTGAATCGATGTTTCACAAGGATGTAGTCCAGCTGATACCTCTTCCAATCCCCAGGTGCCTTCCATGTGTAAATTCTTCTCTTTGGCTTCTTGAACCAAGTGTTGGTAACAATCAATCCATTTCGTTCACAAAAGTCAATAAGCATTTGACCTCTGTGATTCCGTCTTCCGTCTTCATGATTATTGTCATTCTAAATTTCAGCATTTATGCAGAAATGGCGACACCTGTGTTTTCCATACTTCCAGTGGATGTAATATTATGTTCGTTAATTTATGTAAAGTATGCATATTTGTAAATTACAGTGAACCATTGTACAAAACTTAGAGGAGTGTGTTAACTGTTTATAAATGTTTAGTATCGATGTTGGGCACGCGGTAGCGTAATTGGTTGAGGCACTATGCTACAACCCGGAATGTCGCGGATTCGAATCCCGATGAGGTCACTGAAATTTGCAGTTGACCAAACCCAACCAACCACATTATTGCCCTGGGGTCGACTCACCCACTAAAAATGAGTACCAGGAACACCAAAGATCTCCTTGGGAGTAAAGGACAGTCGGCGTGTAAGGCTGAGAACCTCACCACCATTAGTGGGCCGATTGTGTAGAAAATGTGAGAGCATTGACACCTCACAGCCTATTACAGGGATAACTTTACTTACTTATCGTCCATCAATATTGACAGACGATAAATAATGGACGTTAAGTTGAACAATGTAACAGAATGCTGAAATACAGAATTAAGCTGCTGTCACACTGGGCTAGTTTACTATAACTCTAGTACTTAGAGGTGACAGTCCTCCGACGCGAGGTAGAAGTATTGGTAGTGGCGGGGAGTGCTCCAGCATGCCGACAAGTGGCGGGGAATGCAGTACAGGCGTTCTCAAAGGGAAATAACTTCTTACCTCATTGTGTTGCATAGTGATGGTGGTTTATTCTCGTTGATGTTCACACATCCGATGTTAAGTTTTAAGTGCTGAATGGCAGACTGTTATGCACTATACACTATTATACACTTTTCACTGTAATACGTGTACATGAAGAGTTTATTTACATATTACATGAATCTATTCTAAAGGGCCAACACCGGTAATGTCTGATTATTTTTTGTTTTCTTCCAGCGGAACCCCAGTTTCAAAATAATTTTCTTTAATGTGGAGATGCATCCCTGAAAATCTAACATTTTCTTCAACTTTTCGTGAACTTTTTTCAGGGTTGGTCTCCGTTTTTCCACTATGTAGAAGTCATTAATTGTTATTCACAACAGACTTGTTAAAGTCGTCCAAAATGGCTAGTGAAGATTTCCTAGGTCTTTCTTTATGGGGTGTCGAACAGGAAGTGGAAGCCCCAGATTCGATATTTTTTGTTTCTCTTATTATTCTTCTGACTACTTTCCACTTTGCCTTTGCTACTTCCACTCCTATGTTCTTCACTGTAGTTGTTGGCCCAGCCTCTTTCATATACTTATATACATTACTAACAATTTCTCTTGATTGTGAATGCAACACTTTTCCACTCAATTTACTTCGTGTAGGTGGCATGTTAAAGGAGATAGAAAAAATGTACAAATATAAATAAAAAAGAAAATCAACGAAAAAATAAACAATAAAATAAAATATTTTCACTGTCACCACTTGACTTCTGGCCCAGTACTTCAATGCGACGTCTCAACTATCTTTGGCCGTGGTTGGATCTCAACTGTCTTCGGCGACGGCTGTCCAGTACTGACTTCTTGTTGTCTTGTTGCTGTCTTCTGTCTCTGTAGCTCTCGGCTTATGTAGGCGTTCTGTGGACTGGATACCAGACACCATTCCTCACTCTTTCGTTTCTACTGTCCACTGTTACATAACGGGTGCAATGAACTCTCTGTAGTTCATTTCTGGGGAGATGCATTCATTGCTTCTGCATTGTCTACGCAACAGCTCCCTGTTCTTTGCGTTACCATGGAAGTGCCTATTCCAAACTCACGTGTTCGGCAGTCTGTTGCCTCGGGAATGCTCCTTCGCAACAGTCTGTTTGTATTCGATTTGTCGCTGTTGGAACTCAACAGTTTCCATTGTAGCCGTTGCGGGGCGATGGACGTAAGGTAACGAGTCACAGTATTAATACAGTAATTAGAGAATAACACACTCAAATACAACTCCTAGAGTCAAAACTTTTTAACTTGACTCTACAAAGAAGAATGCTATTGGGATGTTTGCTCGCACTGAATGCAGAGAAATGACTAATCACAACACCCCCCAACTTTCACGAATGGACCTGTCCATCCATGGCGCAGCTTTTCCTGGACTGTCAGCTCTAAGTACCAGAGCTATAGCAGCAAGCACTCGCTGCTTACTAGCCAAGTGTGACAACGAGAAATGTCGGTGCTGCTGCTCGCCGGCAAGCATTTTACTCGCGGCTAGTGAAGTTGAACATGTCCAACTTTACTAGCCGCTAGCTTCAGAGATGGGATCACGTGACTCGTTAGCCACTCGCCACTAGTGCTCTATTCACCTGTGTGACAGCTCCACATGGCTTACTAACGGCGAGTTGAGAAACGCGTGCACGTCGGTTGCTGTAGTAGTTGTATTCTCTCCGCAAGCAAAATGGGTGACGGTACATTGACATGGAATGGAAAACAAATAATAGAATTTTTAAACATGTTCAGAAAGTACAAGTGTTTGTGAAATCCGTCATGTGATTTATATATGAAGAGGAATGCAAAGGATGCTGCCTGGGGGCCTGGAAGTGTCAACAATTCCCCAGCTGAAGAAGGAAATTAAAGTTCTCTGTGATTCTTACCGGCTAGAGCTTAATAAGGTGAAACAGTCCAGGAAAAGTGGAGCAGTACTCGATGGCATCTACAAACCAAAGGAATTGTCTATATAAACAATCTGCATCCAGTATATGCAGATTGTTTATATAGGCAATTCC